AGCAGGAGAATACACATGCACTACAACAACAGCAGCTCGAGGATACTTTGGCTTCCACTAGGCCAAAGCGAGTATACAAGCAGGTACAAAAGCTGGGGGCTGATCAACCCCTGAAGCACTATGGGCAAGTTAATTTAGTTGAATACGCACTCTCGGTGGAGGAAGATGAGCCGGTCTCCTTCAAGGAAGCTATTCGAGATAAAGATAGCGAGAGTTGGTTGGCTGCGATGGAGGAGGAGATGGAATCTCTTCGGAAGAACCAAACATGGGAGGTGGTCCCATTGCCCGTAGGAAGAAAAGCTATTGGTTGTAAGTGGGTGTATAAGAGAAAGGAAGATTCTTCAGAGCTCGGTGGTACAAGGTACAAGGCGAGGCTAGTGGCTAAGGGGTTTGCACAAAGAGAGGGTGTGGATTACAATGAGATATTTTCTCCGGTGGTGAAACACACTTCTATTCGGGTGCTATTGAGTATTGTTGCTCATGGTGATCTTGAGCTGGAACAACTTGATGTTAAAACGGCCTTCTTGCACGGAGACTTGGATGAAGAGATCTACATGCATCAACCTGAGGGCTACAAGGTTGAGAATAAGGAGCATCATGTATGTCGCTTGAGGAAGTCACTCTATGGACTAAAGCAATCTCCTCGGCAGTGGTACAAGCGATTTGACTCCTTCATGCTAAAGCATGGGTTTTCCCGAAGCGATTACGATTGTTGTGTTTACATTCAAAAGCTTCGTGGAGGTGATTATATGGGTTTTCCCGAAGCGACTATGATTGTTGTGTTTACATTCGGAAGCTTCGTGGAGGTGATTATATCTATCTCCTTTTGTATGTGGATGACATGCTTATTGCTTCTAAGAGCGGGGTGGAGATAGATAGGCTGAAATCTCAACTTGGTAAAGAGTTCGAGATGAAGGACATGAGTGCTGCTAGAAAAATACTGGGTATGGAGATTAGAAGAGAGCGGGCGAATCGGCGATTGTTCTTGAGTCAGAAGGGCTATATAGAGCGGGTGATCGCGAGGTTCGGGATGCAAAGTGCTAAGTCGGTGGCGACTCCATTGGCTCCACACTTCAGGCTTTCAGGTAAACAATCTCCCACTACAGCGGAAGATAAGGCACACATGGAGCGTGTTCCTTATGCTAGTGCAGTTGGCAGTTTGATGTACGCTATGGTGTGTACACGCCCTGATATTTCACAGGCGGTTAGTGTGGTCAGCAGATTCATGGCAAATCCGGGAAAGGCGCACTGGGAAGCGGTGAAATGGGTCCTGAGGTACTTGAAGGGTACTGCGGATACGGGATTGTGTTTTGGTGTAGATACATGTCAGATTGATGGGTTTGTTGACTCTGATTATGCGAGCGATCTAGATAGACGGCGATCTACTGCTGGTTATGTATTCAAGATACATGGAGCTCCAGTTAGTTGGCGATCGATGTTGCAGGCTACAGTGGCACTTTCTACTACAGAGGCCGAGTATATGGCCATGGCGGAGGGAGTGAAGGAAGCATTGTGGTTGTGGGGTCTTCTAGATGATTTGGGGATTGAGTATCATACTGTGCACTTGTGGTGCGATCGTTAGAGTGCGATTCATTTGGCTAAGAATTAAGTTCACCATGCTCGTACAAAATATATCGACGTCAGGTATCATTTTGTATAGGATGTTATAGAGGAAGGTGATAGTTCTCTCATGAAGGTGTACACGAATGAGAATCCCACAGACATGTGGACCAAGGTGGTGATAGGTAGCAAGTTCCAACACTGCTTTGACATGCTTCATATCAGCCCATGTTAATCTGTTCAAGAGGGCATGTTCCTTCGTGGCGGTGATGGGGTAAGGTGGAGACTATGATGGAGAACAATTGCAGAACTACGGTTAGCTTGATCCCGGTGGAGGGTACGTAGGCAGTCGCGGTAAAGTGACGCAGCTGGTTTGGCCTGGTTTGGTGTTTCAGATATCTCTGGTGATGTTCGCGGAGTTCTTCTGGTGTTCGTCCAAAATTTGAGGTTTATCAAATGATGTACGAGGTGGAGAATTGTGAACAGCGGCCCAATGAGGAGTCCCCACATGCGCGTGTCCCATGTGAAGAGATAATGAGGAGTTCGGCCCATGTTTCATGAACTTTTAAACCGCATCTACTCTCCTATAAATAGCCTATATCGCCTAGGGTTTGATGTGTGGGAAACAAAACGCAGGGGATAAACGAGTGCGGGAACAGCGGCTTAAGGAAGAAAAAGCTGCGGGAAAAGCAGTCGGTTTACTCGGCAGGGGAAAGAGCAGAGAGGTGAAAAAGAGGTTTAGGCGGCAGCAGTTTATTTTTCTTTTTCGGATCTGAGAAGAGGAGAGAGAAAAAGAGGGATTTACAAAAGAGAGGTTTATTTCTTTTGGGTAAAAATGTTTTCTAGGTTGTTGGCTATTGCTTGTAGGATCCCTCAAAATTCGGTCTTGCGCTGATGAGAGGAAGAGTGGATATCTCACTTCGCTGAGATATTTCGCTACTGAGTCTGGGTTTCCTTCGCGAAACACAGATATCGAGGTTGACTTGTGCTTTTGTGACAACAAAAGCCAGGGCTCTCTCTCAGGACATATCGCTTCCGCGGCGGTGGGCGTGACTCTGCGCCCAACACCTTATATTTAATTAATACGGTGTTAGCCCATAAATGGAAAGTTTTACCCTCATTTATCTATTTTTATTAAATCCATCCGCTTTAAAAATCATATCATATCATACTCTCTTTAAAAGCACGAGTTCGGGAAATCTTTTTTAGACAAATATACCCCTTTATACTTTAAACTACCTTAATAATTATTAGTTAAAAGAAACTTTGTTTTCTTTCATGCACCAACGTAGCCAAAGATACAATTCCCGATTGAACTTTTGATTAGGAAATAATATTCTTATCTGTAGAAATCCCAATTAAACTTGATCTTATCCAATTAAAATCCAATGGTTAGTAGATGACCATGTAATTAATGAGTTCCAACTAAACTTGATCTTATCCACGTCCTAATACATCAAAGTCAAGCCAATAACTTGCTTTAGATGTTAACTGGACATTTCTTATACTCGTAACACAATTTTTTCCGAAAGAAATAAATTCATAACACAAATTCAACCCACCTACACCCGTAATATAATTCAAATCCTAATAAAACTCTAATTATGACTATTATCCTATCACATGTAATACCTTGTATCTATATATATATAAACCAATAAATTACACAATTTTTATACTAACTCCATCTCCTTCAACATGTATGTTTCTTTATTATATATTTTCATGCATAATTACTCTTTAGAAATATTGTGTATTTGATTTAATGGTGATGGTGATATTTGTTTTACATTGCAATTACATTTTAAGGCAATTTAATTTTTTTAAAAATAACTTCAATTTTATTGCAGAATTTCGAGGATTAAGGATTTGATTGTTGCAGGTTCGCCCATTTATAAAGGTAAATCTTCATGTTTGATATTAATGTAATTTAGATTTATTTGATTATATATTTAATTTGATTAAACCGAAATATAACATAGATATCTTTCCTCTTCTTTTTTTTTAAATTTAACCGATTAAAAGATGAGAATGAATCTGTAGTTGGTTTGAATTCTTGATGAGGGTTCTCCTTTTTTTTAATTGATTTATCTCTCTGTAGTTGGCTTGAGTTCTTCTTATTTTGTGGCATGAGAGGTAAGTAGGATTTTTTTGCTCTTTGGGGTTGGATTTAAGTCTGTGATTTTGATGAGTAGAGGGTAGCAAGTGTACATGTGAAATAATTAAGGAATTGGAAAATTTTGTTATTCTTTGTTCATAGCTTGTTCGGTCTATGAAAACTTTCATTTCATAGGTACGCTCATAGATATATTATTTGGAGGAAAAACTGACATATCACCCGTAATATAATTCAAATCCTAATAAAACTCTAATTATGACTATTATCCTATCACATGTAATACCTCGTACCTATATATAAACCAAGAAATTACACAATTTTTATACTAACTCCATCTCCTTCAACATGTATGTTTCTTTATTATATATTTTCATGCATAATTACTCTTTAGAAATATTGTGTATTTGATTTAATGGTGATGGTGATATTTGTTTTACATTGCAATTACATTTTAATCAACATATCTAATATGAGTTTTTTTGCTATATGAGTATATGAGTATTTGCATGTGTTTTAATAATTGCGAGTGGATGAAGGGTCAAACCACGACTGGTTCACCCCAAATTTAGAGTGTTAGGGTTTTAGAATATGTAGATCAAGTTCAACGGAGCGGATCATCCACAATGTATCTCAATCAAGTGATCATCAATGACTAAGAAACTTAGTGGACGTCCACTTAAGTTGACATAAGTTTCTCTCTCTCTCTCTCTCTCTCTCTCTCTCTCTATATATATATATATATATATATATATATATATCTATATATCATAATCCCTTTAAAAGCACGAGTTCGGGAAAATTTTTCTATGGTCAGTATTACCCTTAGTATTTTTGAATATTATATTATTATCCTAATCTATTCTAATTTTAATCATATCTTATCTAATTCCACGTGAACTATCTATAGGTCAACAATTTAAAAAAAGTTATTTTGAATATTTCACTTAAATTTTAATCTATCCAAATACTAATTATATCCTATATTAACTCCATATGAACCATTGTAGGCATCGAAAATTACATATAGGTCTCCGTGAGCAGCTCAAAGCTAAGAGGAGGTGAGGAACATCACTATCCAAGTCACAGAAGGCTTTGTAGAGGACAACTGGGAAGGCTGAGCAGTCCGTTATTGTTGGGAGGTTTGAGAATTGATCGTCCTCCGGAGCTTGCTCCATATTGAATATTTGATTGGTTGTGTAAAGAGCTGAAGGAAGAGCGACATGAACAAATGGAACGGACGTGGTTGAACACCTAATTATACCCCAGGATCTTTCGGCCTTTTGCACTAGACCCCCAATCACTCTCAAAAACTCCTTTGTATGTGTCGTTTCTCGGCTCTAATTTATAGGGGCTCTCTGCAAAATGCGGAAACTTATTGGGGTTTTGTACAATCTTGAAAATTATCTAGGGTTTACTTCAAAGCGGTGAAAGTTCTTGCCGTTTTAGTGTAATTTATAGCCTTATATTTAGGCACTGTTTGGCAACCAAAAAAAGTATCTTATCTAAAAGCTTGTGTTTTATTGACTTAGTCAATAAGCTAGTAAAGCTGTTTGGTGACAAAAAATAGGAGGAGATTATTTTGGAGATTGTGTCTTTTGCAAGTAGCTTTTGGAAAGCTATCGCAAGTAGCGTTTGTCTTTGGGAATGAGCTACCAATTTTTTTCTTCCGTTTTTGCCCCTAATAATTCTAATTTTATATCAATAATATTGTATGTCTTTTTTAGTCATTTAACAAATTTAAGCTAGTTGTACAGCTACTTTTGCCAAAGAGCTCTAGTCAATCAGCTAGCTACACAGCTAACAGCTTTCAGCTACAATTTCACAGCTTTCAGCTAGCTTAACAGCTTTCAGCTATAATCTCGCAGCTTTTAGCTAGTTTTGCCAAACAGGGCCTTAATTAATACGGTGTTAGCCGAAAGTTTTACCCTCGTTTATTTTTAAGTATGTAGGCCTGCTTCAAAAATCATACTCCTTTTAAAAGCACGAGTTCGGAAAATTTTTTTTAGATAAATATACCCCTTTATAGTTTGAACTACCTTATCTATAATCAAATTCTAATTTTCAAATTTAATTTTAATGATGGGAAAAGATGCTCTTATTTTGGAACTAACAAAATAACCGATTAAAATAACCGATAAAAAAGATTGTTGTCAAAACAATAATTCCAATTCTCACGCAGCCGGGTCGCATTTGAAAATTGTTTTTTAAAAGACAATAACTAAAAACTTTGACCAGTGAGCGCGTTTGTGTATCCTTGCGCATCATCAATATTTTATTTATAAAAAAAGTAATATGGTCAAAGGGATAAGCAAAAGGTTTCGTTGCATGCAACCCCAAAGCTCGGATTTACATGCACGTGCGCGTGTGAGAATTTATAGTCAATTTTCTGACCAAAAATTATCGCAGAGAGAGATAGAGAACGTGAAACTGAATCTAGATTACCTTTATTGTAATATAATTTAAATCCTAATAAAACTCTAATTATTTTTAATATTATATTGTTTTCCCATCGTTACATCTGATCATATAAATATTGCTAAATCTCATTTTCTATTCGGTAAATTACATTAAAACACCGATAACTATCAGAATGGCTTTTTATGATATTTTCCTGTTTACATATAATATATAGATTATTATTAATTAATTATATTTTCCATAAATTGATCTCTGGTGTTAATAATATTTGCAGGGTAACAAATACAAGCAGTAATGTACGGAGAGACTATCGAAAAGTTTATAGATATGCTTAGAAAAAATCAAATTATTTTCATTTCAAATGGAGAAGTGAAAGGAATAAACCCAGCTTTTCCAAGTATCCACAAGTCACTAGAATTAGTACTAACAAAAGACTTATCGATCAAAAAAGCACCAACAGGATTCTACTTGGAGAACATAGTTAACAACTTTGTGCCATTTGAAGAAGCATTTTCCATAAAAGATGCAACAAAAATTAGTAAGTACTTACAAACTTCTTGTTTAAATTTTGAATACAAAATGAGACATTAATCTATAGAATCATAATCTTTTTATCAAATCACTTGCAGATATTCTAGCAATAACAACTAATGTGAAGCCGGTAATCAACTATATTACAAGACACAACAAACCAGACAGTAGGAGGGAAATCACACTTATGGATATAAGGTATATACATGTTACTTATTTCCAATATCATAAGAGAAAAAAAGATTAACGTTCTTTCTTTTTTCATATGCAGTGGAATGCCAATGCGTGCAACTTTATTTGGAGATTTCCAATATCATAAGAGAAAAAAAGATTAACGTTCTTTCTTTTTTCATATGCAGTGGAATGCCAATGCGTACAACTTTATTTGGAGATTTGGCTACAAATGAAGGATCAATTCTTGAAGCAAAAATCAAATATAAGCCTATAATAGCATTATCAGATTTTAAAATCTCTATATATCAAGGTACATAAATTATTGCTAAAATTCTTATTAAAGATAGCTAAACATAAAATTAATCCTATAATTTTCCCATTTTTGTAGGAGATACAAGCATATCGTCGCAAATTATTTCAACATTATGTATAAACCCAAAAATAGAACTAGCTAGCGAATTAAGGGAATGGTAAGCAGAACAATCAAACTTTCATATAACCCAATAATGAAATGGTATTATATTTTAATCTAATATGCAGGTTTCAATTGAAAAAAGCTACAAAAGCAAAAGGATCTTCATCAACACTTTTTAAAAATGTTAGGGAAATTCATATTAGTGATATTATGCAAACATCACAAAATTCGATACAGGTACAATATTATATACATATTCTTATCTACAAATTTAAAATTAACTAAACTTTGTTAATATACAGGCACGATATTGCATATTTAAGGAAAAGATAACTACTATTTTAAATAGGTTCGAGCCATGGTTCTATTCTTGCAAAGGCTGTGACAAGAAGGTTGATAAAAATGTTAGTAAAGAGTGTCTGAATGACAAATACCACAGAATCATTGATGACCCAGTACCAATGTTAAGTAATATATATTTTTTAATGCCATGAACATATTATAATACAATACTAATTGTCTTTAGAAATTAACAATGAAAAATACAGGTGCTTAGTTAAGATTCTCGTGGAAAATGACGCGGATAATGCAAGAGTAACACTCTTTGACGCAGCAGAAACTCTTATTGGATGCAAAGTAGAAAAATTTATTACAGAAAAGAAAGAGGTAATTCCTAATTCTATTCAAGTAGTAAATTAGAAAATAAACAAATTCATAAGTATTAATATAACATTTGTTCTCATGGCAACAGAAAAATAATCAGAGTCCATATTTTCAAAATTTGTTTTGAACATCGGCAAAAGTTTCAAATTCCTGGTGAAGTTAGATGAAAAGGCAAAAGATGAACGAGGCGAAGGCAATATAATAACACAAGAAATTCAACTCCAGACTAATATTACAATCGACGTAAGTGATGAAGATGCTACTCTAGAGTTGCCCAGAAAAAAGAGGTGGAGAAAGATTGATCTTTGTTCAATTATAAATTTTCAAGAACAATATTTTTTAATCATTTTATATAACAACTTAATTTTTGATTACAATTAGGAGTTTTTATAAGGCATTTTCATGCAAAGTTATTAGTAGTTTTGTATGCTTATGTGATTGCTTAAATCACATAAAATTACACTTTGATATTTAACCATTTTAATATATTTTATAATTATCTATGGATATGATCCTGCATTTCGTGAGAGGCAATCGATAAAAATCTGCTTTTATTGATCCTGTGAATGGATATATTGTCAGCTAGATGTAAAATACTCTTACTGATAGCTAGCGCAACATGTGATCAATCATTTATGATATAAATGTGACCTCTTTAATCAATTGGCAAATAATTACTATTACGATGATTTTGCTTGGGGTTGTCACAAACTTCAATATTCAATGTTTTCAAAAGAAACCCCTTGACTAACTAATTATTACTTGTTGAGATTGTTGCCATGTTGAATAAGGGACCAAATTTGATCAAAATTTACTTTTATACTTTAATTAAGTTCCTATTGGGTGTTGGTGGTAGTGATCAATTAAAAATTCTTAGAACAAAAAAAAAATTACAAGTTTGCAGTAAATCAAACAATGATCTTAGCTTTTTTAATCAAAAAATATTTGAATAAACTTAAATTTTTAAAATATTTTTTCATTACTATAACTACAATTCATATTACATTTATTTTTATTAATATTTAAATAAAATACTAATAAATCTTATAATTCAATTATACATATTTGAACTCAAGATAAATCTCACTTATTTAAAGTAATGATGAAATAAATATAAAAATATATTTTTAAATATTTAACCACGTGCATTACACGTGTATAAAAACTAGTTACACTTTTGCACAACACTCTATTGAACTATTTTCAAACCCACTTTGTGTGTTGCCGTGGTTTGGTATACAACAATTTACAATTACTTATATCAAATTGTGTTAATATAATGCAATTTACGTCAATTACAACAACTGATATTAAAATATAGCAACTTTCATGATAAATTATGACAACTTACAATTAAAAACAATCCACGTGACTAGAATGTGCAAAGTAGATTAAAAAACAATCCACGTGACTTGGACAATTTTTTTAAAAGGAAAAATTGTTTAGAATGCAACGTTTGACCTCGCTTCAATTATTGACATACTTAATATCATAATTAATAGAGTTATTATAATTAACAAAATAAAGAGAACGGTAGATGCAGACAAGTAGGGGTGTGCAACGAGCCTTGCTGACTCATCCCATGGGCCGGCCCATGCTAGCTCAGTGGCGAGTTGAGCGAGCCATGTTTTGTTGCTTGTTTCCAGGTCTGGAGCTCAATCCAACTCACTCGCGGGTCCAAGAACATGCGGGACGAACCATGACATGGGTCGGCCCATTTCACCCACTTAATTATTATTTTTTATTTTCTAATATTTAATTATTTTTGATAGGTTTTTTTCAATATTATTTAGGCTAAATAGAAAATTAGTAATGTCATGATTACAAAAATTGAAAAAAGTAATTTTATTAAGTAAAATTTTATATTTGCATACAATTACAGAGAGAACCATCACAAACACAGAGATTTAATACAGTTCGGAGCAAGTTTTACATCAATGAGTAGCATAATATTGTTCTGCTAGTTTAAAAAATACAAGAATAAAAGAAATTATAATAAACTATAAAGAAAAAAATATTATTATGAGCTAAACGCGAGCCCACGGGTCGGGACAATCGAGTCATCCCTCTCATATGTAAGCGCAGCCCGCGCGCTAGGCCTTGCGGACCGAGCGTGTTGTTGGCTCGCATTTTGCTTAGGCTGACCTAGTGCAATCCTGTGGCCCATTACTGTAGCGGGTCGANCTATCCCGCACCGAGCCAGGTCAAGCCGAGCACCGAGCAAGCGGGCTCATGGGCTGACCCGGCCCAGTGCCCACCCCTATCTAACCCAGTATAATCCCACTGCTCTACTTAATAAGAGATCTAATCCATAATAAAGAGCACTAGATATACGCAGTGTCCACCGTGCACCGATGTGACCAATTGAGAGCTCAAAACTTCCATCTCTTTGCACCCCGTTTTGTTAAACAAGTTGTCAAACTATTCTCATTTTTGCCTAAATAATAATAGAGTAGTATAATCAATAGTGGATCTAGGATTTTTTTTCCCGGGGACCCGTTGGCATCTCCATATAATTTAGTGGTGTCCTAGTAGGGGTGCACTCGGTCCGGATACGGCTCGGATACGATGCTTATCATATCCATACCCGCTTACTCATCTCAGATACGGATATGGATATATCTCAGTAAGGAAAATTCATAATCATATCCGCTAAAATTGGATACAGTTACGGATATACATGCAGATATATGAGCGAATATGCAATGCACATACAAAACGGATATGAGAAAACTATATAGTAAGGAGAAAAACATAGTTTATGTGATACAAAAGAGTTTGTTAATATGTTCATTATAATTGAAAAGTTAAGATTAGACATCTTGATCATCAAAATTAATCACAAATCCATAATCGAAGAATCAAACTATCGTAAGAGTATGACTAATATGTATTTGGATATTTCGGATACGGATACAGATATTTCACTACAAAACCATATTCGTAACCATATCCTATCCGTTAGGATACGGTTACGGATATTTCCTCGGATACATATATCGTTTAGCACCCCTATGTCCTAGCTACTCTAATTCTAGTAGTGTTACTAGTAGCAAATGCAAATAAAAGCAAGCTGCGATAAAACTGAACGTTATATAGTTTTGCCTTTGCGTATAATCACTAGTAGAAAACAGAGCATTGGCAACAGGGTATTGACAACGGATTCGAAATCCGTCTCCAATACAAACATTGGCGACAAAAATAAATCCGTCGCCAATACCCCGTCATCAATGTTTGTATTGGCGACGGATTTTGGCCGTCGCTAATGTTGTTCCATCGCCAATGACCGTTGGTGACGGGAAACATTGGCGATGGATCGTTTTCGTCGCCAATAGGTATTAGCGACGGATCTTGTCAGTCGCCAATGTTTTCCGTCACCAATAGTTATTAGCGATGGATCGTTTCCGTCGCCAATAGGTATTGGCGATGGATTATGTCCGCTTACTAGGATAACGTATTAATTAATTTTAATTGGCATTTAATCGGATTAAATTAGCATAAGACCCTAATCACCCCCCTCTAGGGTCTAACATCTATGAAAAACAAATAGTCAAGGAAACATATTCAAATCTCCAACATAAAGAATAAATGTTTGTAGGGAAAATTGCAATGAAGAGAATAAAGAAAATTTGACTTTGATTCCTTTGATCTCGGTTACAACTTGATTACAAAAGAGAGGAAAACGAATTTGGTTTTCCCCTTTGTTTAAAACTAGGTTCTTCTCGGTAGTGATGGAGTGCCTCCTTCGATTGCTCTCGTCGAATTTGCTCCCCGTTGACGATCCAACTGTCTCTCTCTCGTGGGAACAATGAACTTCTGTGGAAAAGTTTGATGTTTTAACTCTGAATGAGTTTTAAGAACTCTGAACGAGTTTGAACTTTGTGAATAGAGTTGTTGGAACCGAAAATTCGGTTAATGATCAAGCTGTCATTCTGTTGCTGACGAATCCCCTCAGATTTGATTTTCTGAGATTGATTCAAAAATCCTATCTCCAAGGATTTCGTTGCTGCCAAATCTCCAAACCCGAGTGGTTTTCAAAGAGCCAGCCGATAACCTCTGATCTCAGCCTAGAAAAAATTCTTCCCTTAACTCAGTTGAGTTCGTTGAGTTTTTATAGGGGGATAGGAGGTTGTAACTGACCCCTATATCTGCTTCTACGTGGGCGAAAATCCCTCAGAACGTGGGATAAACGGTTCTGAAACCGTTCGACTCATGTTTGAACGAGTCAGACGCCCAATCTGGCGTTTAGCACCCAACTTCGCCTCTTAGAATTGAGACGCGAGGTTGGGTGTTAGCTGAACATCATTGAACGCGAGGGTCGCTCGCGTTTTGGCTTGTTGCCTGCTTGGAAACGCGGGGGTCAATGTTGGTTGGACCCCTACGAACGCGAGGGTTGCTCACGTTTGGCTTGTGCCTTGGAGACGCGGGGGTCAGTGTTGATTGAACCCCTATGAACGCGAGGGTCGCCCGCGTTTGGATTGTGGCTTGGCGACGCGGGGGTCGCCTTCATTTCCAAAGTG